CTGGCACACCTGATGGAGGAACTCCTCGCGAGCAGCATATACTCGTCAGGGGGCCGGTGTAATGGCCGACTATACAGTAGCTACAGGGCAACTAAGCTTTCGACCTAATGCAACTGGACAAGCGCCCCAATGGATCTCAGTGGGGCACCTGAGCAAGGGTGCTTGCTTCACCGAGCAGCATTGGCATTGGTATCGGATTGGATCGCCTTCTGTGAAGCGGAGAAAGAGCAGAAAGGGTTATGACCGGGTGATAGGTACGCCGAAGCGATTTTCTGCCGGAGCTCATACCTTGTCGGGCCGGCACGCTCGGAATACTCACAATGGAACTTCTCTACCGGGCCTCTGCTTGTCCCTCCCATCTTTGACTGCAACTGCACTGCCGGGCGAGAGTCAGCAATCCCGCTTCGACGCACATGGCCAGCCAGCCACCTGATTGATCTGGATCAATGGTTCGTGCCATATCTGCGGTCGATCAAATCTGGCCGCATAGGGAGGACGAGCGTTGTTCGATGCCGACTTGGGTGACCGCTCCATCGAATTCGTGGTCGCGTAGAATTTTCGACATGAAACATGGTGCCACGAGAGTGATGCGCTCTTCATGCTGTGCTTGGCCGCTCAACGTGATACAGTATGTCGGCGGCGCCCATGCAACTAGCTACCGAAATAGTCAAGTTGCATGATTTGGTTGCACGGTTCGCCGCCATCAGGAAGCACGTTGCCCCAAAACTCCTAAAGAGGGACCTCTTACATGATGGGGGATATCAGGATATAACACGTTTGTTGGCGGCAGTTTGTGAGGAGGCGTTCAGTCCGAGCTATATATTAATGCTACCCATGCATCTGATTTCTATCAACTCGGGAATTCTACAATAATCTATCCGCTTGATATTGGACAGCGATTTCAAGCGGCTTATGCCAAACCTCGAGCCCCTTAATTCTGGTTAAACCCCCATCTTGGTTGCCTTTTGTACATTTGATTACGATTCCCCATTGAATCGTTCGTCACCTCCTCCGACTGAGATCAAAATACTTGCCTTTCAATTTGTAAGATGGCAGCTTCCAATGATGTTATAACTAGTTGGGATGTGTATCTTATAAGCAGCAGACAGAAAGCTGGTGCGGTACACAACCAGAGAACATCATGTGCCGCAGTATCAGGATGCACGCCATCTGCCCTACGTGCAACGAGCGAATATCAGGAAGCACAAACAAGCAGATGTGTAGTGATGCTCGGCGAAAGGGCAAAGGCTTCGGCCGATGCTCTACAGGTATATGGCCAGCGTGGAAAGAGTTTAGGGGCGAAGAGTGCCACGGCTGCGCCGAAGTCCATTTCCCGTATCATTCTTTGTCTCTTGTGTGTTACGTTGACCTTACACACATGAAATTATGCCGGATCCTTGCTCGAGGCAATGTTCAGAACTCCAAGGTGAAATGTTCAGCGCCCATCAAAGCCCAAATGGCCTCAAAGGCAGATTGTGATCTATCAAGGTTCATGTTATGTTCGATTACTGGATGGGATGGGATGGGAGGCATACACTTGACCTTTCGGCATGAGGCTGAGGCTGTATCAATCGTTGAACTCACTATTGAGCCCGAAAAGTGAATTCGCTTCGATAATACTAAAGCTCCCGGTCTGCCATGTGGCTCTGCTTCTCCAGAGGATTGTCTGTTTGAACAGCATGGCTCTACCAATTTTGGTGTTCCTGCCTTGACTGCAAGGCTATCGGTGAACCAGCAACTGCTGGCGACGTACGTATTGATTCGACTATATACAGTTGGGGAGAGAAGTGACTCTGCTAGACGTGCATCCGTCTGACAGAAGCTATATGCAGAAGCACGCAAGGGTCCGGAATTGCAATGCTACATGCTATTGACATGTATTGTGCATAGTAAATGTCATCAAATGGTATAGCATGGGTTTATCACACTGCAGCTTAGTGTTGCTAGTAGAAGATGAGTAGTTGTGCCGGACATAGTGGTCACATGTGATTTGCCGTGCATGCGTCATATTGAGGCCTGCATCACTGAGTCCAGAGGTGGACAGTACGCCAAATTGGGCAGTGAGATCTGAATTGTGCGTGGGCAGTTGAACTACACACTTGGAAATGGAGTTCCAGACTTTTGGAATCATCGCTGTCATAAACACGGCCAAGGGGGGATTGACTTCCACATGCGGACGATTGGAGTTGCGTAATCATTGTCATAATATTTTGGGTAGCTAGAAATCTATCTGATATTGGCTTTCCTAGCTGTTGCGGGAGAGCCAAGCTGAATTGTGGATTTGCGAATCGAGCAGCCCGAATCTCGGCAGATTGTAGCGTCAAGGTTCCTAATGCTAGCCAGAGCTGGACGACCCAAAAACTAGATCGTCAAAGATACTGGAACTGAGCGGGAGTCAAGCACACTTACGGCTAGATTCAGCATATCAAGTGGACTCGTAGGTGACCACCAGGTACTAGGCCATCCGTGCTACTGAGAACCGTGCTGCAACCTTTCCTGGGGTGCTATGTCAATCTAGAGCAGGCCGGGACAGGTTAGCCAATGAGCTTCGGAATTGGTGAGCCCACTTCCCGGGCGGTACGCTCCACTACCTATTCCCATGGTTTCGCGTTGATGCAATCCGGTCTTTGTGACGTCGATGCCACAGCGGGGGCAGGGTCAAGTCCATACTGGCCACTGCCGGCCGTTTGAGCTTAGTCTCCAGCCGTTGGTCGGCGCTTCTAACAGCTCGATCGGACGCTGCTGAGGATTGTGGAGCCAGTAGACGCGCGCCGTCTCTCCTACAAGTCAGCAGGTGAGTCTAGCTGGTTACAATGATAGCAGAATCTTTAGCGTTGGCGCCAGCAACCGGGGGACGTGAAACAGAAGTGCTGAGAACGCAACAACGCTAGGACAGCGAAATACCCAACTTTTCTGTTTTGAGTCGGTACCTGGCTGGACTTGGCTAGGCTTGGCTGCACGGGTCTGCACATCTTGCTGCTAGCAGCTTTGAGGCGCGTCTGAGCGCCAGCAAATTGTGCCCAGAAAGATATCTGCCACGCTGTAGAAGCACACTGGGCAATGCAAAAGTACAGAAAGATGGCAGCCATACCCCTTATCAAGACTGGGGGTCTGGGACCATCGAAAGCTCCTTTAACGCCCACTATATGAGCGACTGGCGATATTAACCAAGCATTCCTGCCTCTTTGGTAAATTTCTGCATTTCTTTCATATGGTTTCTAGGCATTCGCTGCAACTCGCCGCCAATCACACCCAGAGGGCAGCGTCTGTCACCATGGCGGTTATTGAGAATCGAGGACCTGAGCTCCTCAAGGTCTGCATTGCGCTGTTGATATTTGCCGTCATTGCCACGTCGCTGCGATGCTACACCCGGCTTTGGGTTGTCAAAGCCTTCGGGGCCGATGATTGGACGATGGCCTTTGCTTGTGTAGGTGCCACCGCTGCATAGACAGGGAACAGGGCTGTTGAAACTCACTATACACATCAGATCTCTTTCATCCTGTTTGTTGCTTCTGCTATTACTGGCATTCACTATGGAACCGGCCGCCATGCCACGGATCTTTCCACAAACGACTTCGAGGAGGCAATGAAGGTGAAGACTGACCGCGTCTTGCATTCTGTTGAGATCAGATGGCTGACACGGCGAGCAGTACTGGTGGTTTTGCTATATTTGGTATTGCGTAACGATGATCACCTCAAAGATCTCTATCGGCATTTTCCTCCTCCGAATTACCGTCCACAAGATGCACCGCTACATCCTATATGTAGTCATGCTCCTCTCGCTAGTCTCCGGTTTGGTGTTCTTTTTCGTCACGCTCTTTCAGTGCCAGCCCATGACCTACTTCTGGGCCAAGGCACAAGGCGGCACATGCGTCAGCCCCGTCATCATTGCCGCCCTCACCTACTTCTACAGCGCTTTCAGTGTTATTTGCGATTTCACGTTTGCTCTTCTGCCGGTTGTCCTTATTCGCGGCCTTCAAATGGATAGCAGGATCAAGTGGGCTTTGATACCCATCTTGAGCATGGCTTGTGTGTACGTGATTTACCTCCAAGTTTCCATGGCTTGGGCTAACAAGCGTCACTAGTGCAAGTGTGGCCGTAGTCGTGCGTTTCGCGTACATCAAAGACTTCTTGGATCCGGACTTTCTATGTACGTTCAACTTGCCCCACCATTAGATAGCAGAGACCAAAACCTGACACTCGATCTAGGGGCGACTATGGATGTTGCAATCTGGTCAACTACTGAGCAGGGCTTAGCCATCACCGCTGGTAGTCTGGCAACCCTGCAACCCCTCGCAAAGCGGGCCGCCCAAAGATTTGGCTATTGGGAGACGCAGAATACTAAGCCTTTATCCGAAGATGCTCTGCCTCGCACGATCGGGAGTCTCGGCCAGTCAAAGAGCCGCATAAGAGCCAAATCTAACGGAGACTTCAGTCTGACTACTCTCGACTGGGAAAATAACCTTGGACAGTCAAGCCAGGAAGGGGGCCGACATGTCTTGCCCAATGATCAGATTATCATGACAAAGGAAGTCGCCGTAACCAGCAAACGGGGCAGTCTCTGGGGTGGTGCTGCGGAGGAGCGTAATAAGAGCGAGGAGGAGCTAACAAATTCTTCAAAAGGCGCATACAAAATACGAGTTGCACCCAAAAGCTGGCTCAATGATAGATAAAGTTAGAGTAACGACTAAGTTTTTTCGCAGGCAGGATTGGGATTGCAACGACACTCAGCGCAATAGAATATAGCCACTACTACTATTCAAGGCCACACCCTGACACAACCGACGCTTAGTGAGCAATGTGCGTATGTCATCTCACGTAGCTGCAACCCCTTATTTATAAAGCTTCGACTAATTTTATAACATGTATTCCCGGAACCAATTTGGCGCTAGCCAGGCCGCCTTGATAATACCAGTTCGCCAGCCGTATTTGGGCCTCGCATCTTAGTATAGACGGCGGGTACTTGACGTTGATAGGAGTGATGGGGGGAAAAGCTAATATACACTGAACCAAGCCAGGCAACGGTCAAAGCCAACCCGGCCTAGTAGTGGTAGAGATGGATAGAGGATTTGTCCTTCCAGTAGGTCTCGGTGCCATGCACTGAAGAGAGATAGGTTGGCATTCTGTTGTGTTGACAAGTGAGAAAGAAGATTGTATACACAGATACCCTTTATTCTGTCCATTTGATGCTTCTAAGTCGGCCCTCGTATATGAGTTATAATATCCTAGATTACTTCTGCGTAGTGATATACTGTATCTTCAAAATAGTTGTAGTAATACACCATCAGGTCCCATGCAATCACACACTCACTACTATGAAATCTGCGAAATGATGAATTATCCATCTCCGATCCACGCCTGCGATGAGGAGGGCATTTTCAGAACTACCAGCTTTGAGAAACATGCCATAGCTCGCTAATTGGCGGGGCAACTTTGGGGCATGTGCAGTTTGGAATTACTCTGCGGAATGTAACGTGGCTAAGCTGGCATGTAAAGTGTCATTTTGATCATTTTATGCTAGAGCTGACGTTCTGAAAGAAATACGTTGGCCAAAGCATGTCTCTTCTGGTCCGGGAATGAGCCGACGTGACGTCCAAAAAATTATCAAATGAAGTAGTAGCTGGCATATGACAGCACGGGCGTAGCAGACGGCGCTGGCACAAGATACTGTAAGCTCGAGCTTGAGCACGACCCTAACCAGTCAAATAGCGCTTCAAATCGGCACAGGCGATCCTTGTTTCGTCTGGCTTCAGAAGAAAGTGGCACCCCATTTGGCTCGGATACTTCCTTAGAGCCAGTAGCGGCTTGCATACCTGTAACTAGGAACACCCACGCTGAACTGGACAGCTTAGCGGAGAAGATACTCACCGTCTGCATCCTATGCCATTTAAGACGGCGGAGTTGTCTGTGATTCCCAAACTGAGAAAGGAAGGCCTCACAGATCCAAAGACATACATACCCGCCGATCTCTCTGCTTTCATGCCTCGGGAAAGGGCTAGAAAGATTAGTGGCACGGAGGATGGCGTGGACAGTCGTCAAGCGCGCGGTCCTGGCCCCCAGCAGCTCGCAGCCGTGCCGAAGACGGCGGCCACGGACCTCGTTGCGGCGCTTCAGCCAAGGGCCTAGTGACAGCACTTGTCTCCATAGACATGGATGGAGAAATTGCGCTAGCAACACTATACAATGGCACCACGACTAGTGCCGGAAGCTGACGTTTTCACCATAGATCACCTGACGATTCATGGTCTCGACTCTGGCCAAGGCTACGACCGGCTGAGCCATTGCATGAGCATGGATCTCCATCAGGGGGTTTGCCTTTGCCCTTGTTTGGACGTTGAATTCCGTTCTGGCTTTGGTAGTTATGATGCACACGGTAGCGTGAGGGTTCATCCTAAAAGATCTACCAACGCTTGCCTGAGCCGATGTTAGCCTTGAGCATGGCTGGAAGAGACGAGGCTAGGCTCAATGGCCCACCTCTCAACGAGGACGTGATATTACATTCTGTCCTTGTTATTTTGCACCTGCAGAGGAAGTACGGGTCAATCAAGCCACGTAGCTAAAGAAACCTTCCGAGTTTCTCTGCCACGGTAGGTAAATCATCTATCCAATCATGGCTCCTGTCTTTGCGGCAATCTTGGATGAATCAAGCAAAACCCTACCCATAAAATGTATTTCTTATAGAGCATGATATTCCAGTACAAGAGAAGTCTGGTTCCGACGGGGGGGGGGGATTTCTTTCATTTACGACCCTGCTAAACCACTTTGAGAGACGACGGTCTATTACCGTTCCAATAAGGTTTCGGTCAATCATTAATCCACCCTTTCGGTGCAGCTAGTGTCGGCCCTCTGGAATTGTTGGTACATCGGCAACTCGAATAGAGTTGTCCAATTGCAAAGGTTGCTTGACAAGTAATACTACTGTAGGTCTATAGTAAGTATATAGGAGAAGCCTTCACCTGAGCAGATCGATGACTAAGCATCCTAGAATATCACCACCTTTCACCCACTTACGGATTAATCACCACTGCCATACCTCGTACAGAAGAATTATCCAGACAGCGGAGTTGATCATCGTCTTAAAGACAAGAGGGCCCTTGCAACGATGAAAAGGTTGTATGTGTGGAATTTCGCGCTAAGCGTACCGATCAATACTTGATTGCGGCCAGCGATGATAATCAGGAGCACAGAATTATCGAAAGCTCGTGTACCTGTTCGGCCGCGAGCTTCTGCGAACAACATAACTTTGTTCTCATTCTACCTGTTGATCACAAACTTGTGTACAATTGTTGGCAAGGTATATAAAAGTAATGGGACGCTGTGAAGGCGCGATAGTAACTTACCGATGCTACTGGCTTTGGAAAGTCTAGGTTCGTGGGTGTGTCGCTTTCTCGGGAGAGGGGTAAGATGAAACTCTTTTCGAAGCCTCACAACCACCTTCATTCGGCTTATTTCTAATAAATCGGCTTGTCGGCCGCGATTGACGTGGCTGAGGCCTGTCAGGGTTTACTCCATGCTATCCACAAGAGACGGATCGATAAGACAAGAAGCATCAAACTCCAATGCTTCCCCAGAGACTCTTTTCGACAAGTTGATTCACCAACTGGTTCACGCCGTTGAGCGAATGAGTGTTCGGGCTAGTGTTCGGGCTAGCTTATAAGCTCTCCATTCCTGTTGCCTCGATGAAACTCTCTTGAAGTATGAAGATAGGTAAAAGCAGTAGAGTTGGGATAACGGTGACCGTGATATCAATGACAAAATATGGAACGAATGCAGCAAGGTAGGCATCAACTGGAATATGGTTCCTACGAGCAAGCTTGCAAACGAGTGAATCTTTGGGTAGGCCACTGTGAATTGTCGGAAGAACAAGTTCATTTCTCAGGCAACGGGCTCGCTGGCCAACAACAATTAGGGGACTAGCACACAACCGCACCAACGGTGCACAAGGATTAAGAAAATGACAAGCCACCCAATGAGAAAGACGCTAGGTTTGGCTCAGCGTTTCAGATAGTTGGCTCGCCTCGCGGAAATGAGGGTGGCTTATCCTGTTAGATTAATTCATGGGCCGATGTCGATTGTATGTCCGTCTGAAGAACTAGTTCAGTTCACAAGTGGTGGGCTCGCTGGCCAACAATAAATTATGGGACTGGTGCATGACCGCGCCAATGGCGCAGAGGGGTGGACAAAAAAACCATGGCAAGCCACCCGACGATAAGACGCTAGGCTGGCCTCAGTGTTTCAGATAGGTGGTTCGCCTCACGGAAATGAGTGGGGTCTATTCTTCTAACATGATTACAGATGACATCGCTCAATAGAGGATGGACAGAGCGTATGGCTACGGGTGCTGACGGCCGAGATCATGTGTTAAGGCCAGCTTTCGCATCGAGTCAAATCTTCTACTGTATCATCCGTCTTCATCAAGTTTCTATCATTCGTTGATAACTTATTTGCCCTTATTTTATGCGACGCCCAACGGAGAGTATCTCGTTCGTTCCGAGCACATTGGTATGCATGGCGCTCAAGTCGGCGAGGCCGAGTTTTTCTATAGGTGCGCTGGAGGAGCCTCATTATACTACCTGTGTTTGAGTATAACTAACAAGAGACGTGCAGTTGTGCCCAAATCAAGATTGCCGGTGGTGGATCAGGAAATCTCGGCCCTCTTGTCACAATCTTAGGCGTCTACCGCTAAGCCGATGAAGCTATAAATTTCAGTATTTTATGGCGCCAAGAATTATACCCTCGTCCCAGGCCCAGAGGTTTGGAACGGAGAGTCGACAAACTCAAATGAGACAAGTTTTGAGTCCTTAGGAAAGACTTCAGCAAGTATTGTATCCAGCATTGTAAAAACAACGTCGCCGTCGGCCAGTCTCCCAGAAAATCTGTCATTGTCTACGAGTTCACCTACGAGTTCGTCTACAAGTACCACTACCAGTGACTAGATCCAGCTAGCTACTAGTGCTGGGTCACATCCCCCATAGAGGTGGTTGCCGTAGGGGCAAGTTGAGAAAGCTCTGATCGGGTCGGGATGAGTGGTCCAGAGTGATGTGGAATGATGTGTCTATTTCAGAATCTGCTTTATTTTCACGGCGGCCTGGGTGGTGGCCAATGTACTGTATTCCGATACATTCCGAGGGGCATATGACTTGGCCAACTGGAAACGAGGGCCAAGTCCATATTCTCTTCTGTAGTTATATTGTCTTAAACAAATATGCGCAGTCTGGAACACCTTGAGGCCCTGACGGAATGTGGATGGAGCTACGAGTTGACAGGGTTTCTGACTCACTCATCTCGCGACGAAATGTTCGCCAAATCTGTGACTCACATTTCAGCTCATCACCAAGCTTCCGCGCATTGCCTACGTAAAGGGTACGGCCCTGACTCAGCCACTGTATGGCACAGCATTCAATATCGGTAGCCGCCTGAAGCTCTTTATGAGAGGATGTGCAAGATCACGCATACTTACGTTGATGATACCGCATCTATACCCCATAAAGAACTGCCATGGGTTGCTAAGTACAAGGATTAGCCCCGGCTTGTGAAGGGAATCCCATCAGCCAAATAACTAGATATCCATGCCCGTCCACTACTTGCGTTGGGGCTGTCAGTCTCTCGAGGATAGATGGTTCTCTTAGGGATATTGGCACTGGCCACAATTGTCCCTGTGTTGTTTGCTGTCAAGTCAAATTTATGAGGATGCTATTTCTTATCCACTGAGCACCCCACCATCGCTCTTCACGCCCATCTAGCCCAACTGATTGCGGAACCGCGACAGCCCAACTGCCAAATTCCTGCATCTAGCAATGGCGGGACTCATCCCGATGGGGCTAATTTATGACCGTCGAGGTGTGTACGTCAAGCTACCAGATATCGTATGGGGACTAGAGTTTTCACAATGAGAAGACGATCAAATCATGATCGCTGTGCTATCAAGTATCCCCTGGACTTCTGTACTTGGGGTCACGCTGGGATGAACAGCCCTTAAATATTGGGCCCTGTGCAGGACGATTGATCGGCATCTTGACTATCCGGGTCCCACCTTTTATGGCTGTAGTTAGCAGGGCAGGGTATGCCTGCAAGCTTCATCCTGTAGATCACTGCTATATCTACCGAAATGGGAGCAGGCAGGCAGGCTCAATCGCGATGCTCCACTTGAGGAAGGCTCACCCTCGGTAGTCTGCTAGCGCCCAATTGGCACAGTTCAGCGGATAGCCTGCCGTTGCGGCATATTCCTGGGCAACTCCATCTTTGTTTCCCAGGGGGAAGGGGTGAACTCGTCACCACCATGCAAACGCCTTAATATGCGCGAAATCCTTAGGAATAGGTGATCAAAATTACCTAAAAGCACAGAGGCAAAGCCCAAGCCCACGGTCCACACGACCGGGTTTTGACTGCTGGCCCATTGGAATGGCTCGCCTGCGCCCGAGACTTTTTAGCAAGTATGCTATTCTCGGTCTCCTTGGTGCAGATGGTCACCTCAGGTTGCGAACCCAGAGCTACGGCAGACAGGGCAGAGCTGCGAACCTGCGAGTCTTCCCAATGGTTCCTGATCCTGGTAATAGTGAGATGCTCTTGTTCTTGCTAAGTGCTTGGTGCGCTTGGGCGTGACGGAGGTGAGGCGCGTACGATCACGTGTTCCCAGTGTCTAAGAAGCGCAGAGTTTCGGGATGACAAGTAGCAAGTAGGTCTAGCTGTTGAAGAGACGAAAAGGCGTAGAAGTTCTCCGATGTACTAGCCATCGACTTCTATGAAGGTGGATTCATAATTATTTATGTCAGCTCAGTGGCGTCAAAGTTCTCATCATGGTTCGGCAAATGAAATGCGCTAGCACACGCATTTACCGCCCTAAGCGATGCACCATTCCCGTGCTAGACAGTACCGTTGGGGTCAGCGATATAGCCTATGCCGCACAGAGTCTCTTGCACACAAGCTATGACTCGTATGTCGCATGGCTAGGCCATCTTATGCCTTCTAGAATGCTAGAAATGTCACACTAGCGACCAAGCTATCTTCTGCAACCTGTAACGATGCCTGTGATTTTTGCAGATCGGAATATACTAGGTGGATGCGGAGAACTCTAGATGGGTAGTCGGTTGTGAGGAATCTTTCTCGATTTTGGAGGCCAGGCTAGTCGCATCAAGTAGAAATTTCGTATTCATCTCACACTCAGACATCTTTGTATAAGGGTTGGGGTCAAACGGGCGCTATGCTTCGGGCATAGCACAGGCCCGTGAGTACGGCACAGCTAATCAGGCACGCTCGGATCTCTCCGTCACAAGGGTCGTACTGCAAGTTCTACTTCACGCTGTTGCTTCTGACTTGCGCACCGCGAGGAGGAAGTTGGCCGTCATTGCAGGTGCCTGCGCTTTTTCGTTCGAGTTTCGGGCCACTCACCTACCAGAAGCTACTGGGACTTGTGGAGCCTCTAGCCGTAGGTATTTGTCTTGTCAGTCTACGGATGCACCCTGATCGCATTTCGTCGTTTACTGACGTTTGGCATTGCGGTATGGCACAGGTATGGAACTATAACCGCAGATCACCGATCGTGTGTGAGCTAGACATGATTGGATTTCATTTCTTTTTTTTTTTCTTGCGTGCGCAAAACTCGATCAGAAACCGCTTCTAGTACTTTCTGGTCAGATGGCGCCACTAACTTCACATGTTCTAACATGGTTGATTGCTAGTTCGATGACAGCCAGGCTAACAAGTGATTACGACCCTGCCAGGTGATTTGATAGTAATATACCTGCACGCTCAATCTTGGCAGGGCTCCAGCTAGTACAATAGCAATTACCGACCAAACCTCAAGATTGTCATGAAGCCACGGCCGCACGCTTTTGATAATATTTTACAACGAACAAATAGAAACAGAGCCCCAGGGACCCTAAATCGCTGGTTCGAAAGTCGTTCGTCATCCTTGGGCCCTATTCATACTTCAAAAATTACCAACTGAATTTGATCTATAGACCAGGTGAGGCAGGGTCTTCGTCCATCTGCCAGAACAGTAGCCAGCGGGCTGGCTGGCATGTTTGACCCATCTCAAAACGCGTTTCCCCGGAAGCTCAAGCATGAATAGGTAGGTGACTCCTAACTACTCGGATTTCTTTCAAGCAGCAGTTCATAGCCCAACAGGGCTCTATTTCAATTTGATCTCGGCCGATGGCTAGTTATCAGCCTGATTTGCATCAACTGCCATGGAGGGAAGAGCGGTTTCGACAAGAGAACATGTTCGCCTCAAGCTTTACTACCGTGGGCATGTTTTGATCCGCCGACTTCACGCATCGAAGGTGCGGTACTCGATATAATGAAGCCTGGCTGCATCCTGAGCTGCTGGGCCAGCCTTGAGGGTATGAAAACACAATATTGCAAGTGCCACCCAACGCTCGCAGGAGATGCCACTCAAGCTGGGCCCTCGAGTGAGAGCCGTATTACTCGGCTAGTCCTACGAGAGAATCCCTATGGCATGTCACTGTACACGTATACATGTATTTACATAGTTCACCTGGCGGCCCTGCGTGCAGTGTGTCAGGTTATCTAGGGCATCAGGACTTGCTCTATTCGAGGCGGCCTCTCCCTTTACGTCCAGCACGCCTCACATGCCTGTCCCAAGGAGGGGCCCAACGCAAATTGATATACATCCCTCGGCTGCACATCGTCCAGGGTTATGGGAGCCAAGCATGACGCTCCTGCTGTCACTGGCTCGCCCGGCGTACGCAAGGCAAATCGTTTCAAATGGTTCGACTCATTGGGCTATTGTGCAAACGGTGTAGGCCATCTTGGCAGCGGCGCGACCTAGCGAAGGAACCTTGACTCAAAAGGGCAAGGGAGCACACCTCGACCTATAATAGTCTAACCTTCGTGCCTCCAAGTGACCTGTCATCCTTTCTCCTCCCACTCTTATCCACTAACCCCCTCAAATTTTGAAACCAACACCGGAACCAGTCATGGAGACCTACCGTGGGTACGTGCGGACTCCCGCAGACGCCATCAAGCTGTTCGAGGCCTGTAGATTGGGTCTGCTCCCCAGAGTGCAGCGGCGACTGTCGGAGAAGGAACGCCAGTTGATCAGATCAGAATCTGTGTTCGTGTGGGACGAGCGCGAGGCTGGCATATGCCGATGGACCGACGGAAAATCCTGGAGCGCCAGCAAAGTGTCCGGCAGGTTCCTGACATACCGAGAGCTACAGGGCAAGCGAGGCAGCCGATCAGGCAACTCGAGACGCAGCAATAGCCAAAACCTAGACAGTGGCCGTCTTAGTGATGAAGACCTCTATGGCAAACCTGAGGGCTACAGGTACAAGGCGGGCGGCCTGATGAAGCAGTCTTTCAGTATCACAACATCACAAGGGCAGCACCTACACCTGATCTCGTACTATTCTTGGCCACATCATGGAGCCCCAGACTTGTCACAGCCCAGCTCCGACCCTCAGCTCCGACATATCGTGCCGGCCAAGGGCATGTACCCAGAGTCAAGTCTTCATGGCTCTACATCACCCGCACTTCCATGGGCGTCGGCGTCTATGCATCCGTACAACGCGCAGCCCCCTGGGCTACCACCGCCAGAGCGATCGCCTTACGGCTACACCTGGGGCCCGCCAAATCCCGCTTGTAAGGGAGCTCGGCCGCCTTCAGCGAACAATACGCCCCCGTGGAGTGCGGCGAAAATGTCCCCAGACACGAAATCGCAGGTCCTGCCATGCCTACAGCTGCAACCTCATATGCGCTGCCCACGTAGACAAGGGCCACCGCCTCAACTTCCACCACCTAGCACTCTCGCGCCGATCAGACATGCTGTCTATGGCTGTCCACCTTACGAGAACGAGCGCTTACCCGCTCCATTTATCACTACGTCGCACCCTCAGATCCGGACGACATCGGCCACTTCTGCCCCAAGACTCCAACAGCTTCAGCAGACAGTTGCTCATACAGTCATGCTAGAGCCGTGCGTTGCCACTACAAGCGCTCGCAGATCTTGCGGTTCAATCCCGGCTACGCCAGCCATAGCACCGCGTCTGACACCTCCGCGAACCCTGAGTGTGTCTCCTGCAAATATCACAGGCCCAGATAACTTCAACCCTTCGGCCAAGGCCAGTCTGTCGGCCCTATTGCACCCCACCCCACCCCAACCCACTTGGAGCTCAACACAGCGTATCCGGCCAGCATAAACAGCGCCGAGCTCCTCAGAGTCGTAACAGCCGACCCAGCCGACTCATACAACAACAATGAAGATGTCAAGACGATTCGGTCTTTGGACAAAAGGTTCTGTGTTTGAGGGAGCGGAATGTGAGGATGATTTACACCATGGTATGCCTCATCCTCTCACTATGGTCAGCAACAAATAATTGCTGGTGTCATCAACTGTTGGGGTCATATGGCCCGCAGCTCGGTGCCTAGCATTTTACGGCGTTATGTAGTTACAAATACATGGGTTGTGAGCATTCAAACCTGTTTAATAAACGGTTGGGGAATTACTTTCACTTGCTTGTTCTTAAGAGTGCGCATTTACGCATGATGGTCACCGAGTCGACCTCAGGGCGGAGTTTACAGGATGCTTACAGAACGATCCTCTGAGCTTTAATAGGGAACAATTATGTACGTAAACACTTGAGAAACTGCACATAACCTGACACCACCTAACCCCAGCATACATTCAGAACACACTAACACGCAGGGACTAACGCAAGTCAGCAAGCTTTGGCTGCTGTGTACAGGATGCTGAACATTTGTAGTCTTTGCTCTAAGACGCTTTAGTTGTTGGCATGGACGGCTCAAATTAGAGTTTTCCTATCGCAAACATTCCTTTGATAAGCAGTAACTTTGTAGATCTACAGCAAGTACATAAGGGAAGCCTTCACCGCCGGGGCAGATAAATGAATAAGCATCCTCATTTATCACTTCCACCCGACTTACTGATTAATCACCACTGCGATTCCTCATGGCCTCAAGGTGGATTCCTGGGAAACCCTTTGGAAAGCCCTATTTCCCAATGGCACGCACATCTCCTCACCTGGTACAAGGCGATCTCTTTCCAGTGCTGGCGTATTCATGCTAACTTCTGCCAGAGTTTGTCAACCCAATGGTCGTCGAAGTTTTCGAAGTAATCAACGCAGTCGAGGGGTTCCACACTGAGCATATCCTGCAACTTGATACCAATGCCCATGCAGCTGCACAAGACGAACAGCCGTATCACACATCGCAGTTACTGCCTAGACTCGTCACCCACCTGAATACTGACCTAAAAGGTGTCTGTGACGGTTGCTGCGCAACGCCGAACTGTGGTTCCTTGGGACTTGTACCTGACTTTGGCGCTCAAGGCGTATCAGATGGGGATGTATACCAGCGAAATCATCAAGGAAATGTCTACAACGCGTACGAGCCTGGCTTACCTTCCCCGGCAATTAACGAAACCACCTCATACTCAGCTTCCTCTGTGTCGGGCATTGCCGCAAGAGGTACCAAATCTTACAGGAAGGAGGCGATGCGCTATCCTTGCCGCAGCTGCGACAAAACATTCACGAAGAGTAAAAATCTAAGTAGACATCTCAGCTCAGTGCATAGCTTTGGCCGGCCGCAATACGGCTGTTCATGTGGATATGAAACTGTGCGGAAAGACAATTTCCGTCGCCACCTCAAGAACTGTACACGGCCAAGGGTGGAGAGGCAGTATCAATGTCACTGCGGCTATGGAAGTGCAACTAAAGAGGAATTTCACGACCACATCGAGTCATGTTGGCCAACAAAATCTGGCCGCCCAAGAAAGAATGCAGAGGATGATGTCTCGTCAACAGGCGAACTACAAGATCCGACATAATCAGAGCATGGAGTTAATTGTATTCCTCTCGAATACCGGTCCAGGGTCAAAACATATCCTTAAGACCAAACCATCCCTTGGCTGTCATCTGCGGGGCGTGTCTAGGGACTAAAGTGACTCCAGGTGGCGGGATCAAACCGTCCTTTGCCCCACCTGAACGCGATGCACCGAACCAGCTGCATATTGCGCGTCTACAACGTGACGCGCCTTAGGTCAAGAATGAGCCACCGGAAGAGGTAAATAAATGGACAATAGCACGTCATCCAGGAAGTGCCCGTACGCAAGAAATGGCCTGGACCTGTTTTAGGGTGGCGCAAGTTCATTTGAGGAGCGACGAGAAGGAGCGCTGTCTGAATATCGAGTTCCTGCCATGAATTGAAGTCAAATGGAGCTGGTGCGCAAGGTGGTCTGAGTCCGTGGGGCTCCAATTGCCTGTGGGGCTTGGTATGGCTGATTACAGCCACTGGGGCGTCATCGGTCCACTGGCAGCTTGGCGTAATTCAACTTCGAATTGTAAAACTTAAGTACGAGTACTGTACCATGGCAGTCAGTAGGCTGCGGAGGACGACGCCGTACATCGCATTCAGGTGGGGCAAGAGTTTGAGCCTAACCGCCACCCCACCATCCGCATTGGGTCTGTGCCTGGGTATGCCCCACAGATGATAGCCAAGGATGGTTCGGTCCCAAGGATCCGTTTGACTCAGAGCCGCCTAAGCCTGACTTCACGTAGCTAGCATTCGAAGGATCCAGAAATCGCCCTTTGGCAAGCTCTTCTTTTGGTCACGCAAGATACGACTTGGTTCCAACTGCGCGGACACCTACGGACATGCACTGATGGGCGGTTTCTGCTGTTGGAAGCAACGCAGGAAGCAGATGTAGTCACTTTGGGTCACATTACAGCACTCGGGCGTGTGCATGTGGACACGAGAGCACAAGCGTAGGAATGAGACAGGCGAGCAGCATCACACTACACACAACACAGGCGTGCTTGCCTGAGGAAGCCAATTTCTGAGGAAATTACCAGAATTGTCATGTATGAGTCTAGAAACTATAGCCGAAAACACTTCGATCATTCGCCAGCTGAGGTCAACCTGAAAGTCTACTAGCACGTGTCCTACGTTACCGGGAAGATAGAAGCGATGATTGGGAATGTTCTGACGCAGGCTCTGGCATGAACCCGGCTACAGAGTCAGGCCATGCGATTAATAGGCATCAGAAATAGTAGTGCTCACAACCCTCGATTCCTATTTCAGCATTGGTTTATAGAAATCTGCCCAAAACAGGTCTTCCTCGCGCGGGTATGTTCGAGTTTATACCTCACCGTCGCTCAAGCAAGGTCCGAAAGCCCTCTTCAGCTGCTCAAGTATGGCTGCACGCAAACGCGTTGTTCCGAGGTTCTTGAATGCCGACAGATGTTCTACATGACATTTCGCAATTTGCCGCCCCTCTTTTCCAATTCGGTAGCATAATTTGCTTTGTTCGTCAAAGTACGCACATACTTCTTGTCCCTTCCTGTGATGCCCTGAACCATTCGTATGACCAATTGCCATACTTTTCCGGATTATTTCGACTGGGATGAAAAGGCTTTTTCTGCGCGATTTCAGCTTCGTTTGTTTCGGTCTTCCCTTTATTCTTTTCGCCACTGGGGGTTGGACAGTGGGCTGAACCATGTTTTCATGTGGATGTTGAACAGGTGTTGGTCGAGATCGAGTACCCAGATAAATGACTTCTTCAACTGGATTCTTGACCATGACGGATAGGAGACGTAATATGACAGTTGCTAGGCACGAACGATCTGGTGACGGAACCGGTGAGTATTGTTGGCAAAGCCCCTGCAGACCGTTGTCCGTTGGGCAGGGGGATAATGAGCTACGCTTGCTAGAGCACCGCTATAGGCATGTGTGACAAGGGTCTTACGACAAGCTCTCACCCCAAATTTCGGATTTGTGGCGGGCAAAATCAGAGCACCAATTTTGAGGCGCTGAACACCTGTTGCAAGGAAAAAGATTTGTTTGAGTGTTGGTGCAGTTGATTGATGAGGCAAGAATGAATGCGTTAACAATGGAAACTGTGGTCGTGCCGATGAAACAGGGCGAACAAAAGCAAAGAGGTCGCCGCACGTGACATGAGGGGGTGATCAGCTGTGGCGTGCTCTAACATGAGGCCATACCAGATCCTTTCTTACAGGGTGTGCCTGATAAAGAAGATCACCATCTTTTTGATCTAGTAAGGTCCTGAGCTGATCTTCTTGACCTCGTCGGGAATCTTGATTCGCGCCACAGATGCACAGCCTCAGCATGGCGACAGCCATGTGCAGGCGCGAGGCTGATTAGTGCAGTGTCTGGAGACAAATGTGAGATGCCTCAGATACATCCGATAGCCCGATTTGTGCTGACACGGGCTAACTAGTCACGATGAAGCTCTTCGGTCTCTATACGCGTCCGTGACATTGATATGTACGGACCTAGGGCTGCTACACACGCTCCTTGTCACGCAGCCATTAGCCTGCTTTCAGAAAATAAGATGTCTACACCTATCTATCAAGGTTCCCTACAATCAATTGCAGAAGCCCGATGGTCAAGTCTCACGTAATACGACTGGGCTATGGCAGGATATTTGCCGAAGTCTTTCCCGACTCTCGAAAGCTTCGTTACGAAATGTCGTTCTGCGTCTTGATCTTGACGACGAGCACTTCTGGAGGGAGATCCGCGAGACGCTAGCCCTCCGTTGGATAGAGGGACCTTGCGGCAGATCATGGTACTCTTGTTGCAATGATGCGCCACTTCCAACTTGAGCACAGCAAAGTCCCGAAGGCGGGTTTAAGCGCTTCAAGCGCTATGTTCGATGTCGATGGAGAGGATACGGTTACACAGGCGTCATACCGAGATTGGAGTTTTTTAATTCAGAACAGCATGCAGCTTGGCATATATCGAGTGATACAGAGACCTGGAGGATGGCGCTCGAATTCTTGCAGGGGGTCTAGAAACTGGGCGGTTATCATTCGACTATAAATGACACGGCGAATTTTTATCAGCATTCTGCTGTAACCTGCAGGCAGAAGAGTTCAGATCTTGCAGGATGCTTATCTTTCGGCCTAATCGATTGTTTAGAGTGGATCTACGGCAACGCCACACATATCATAGAGGGTTTATAACCTATACTACTCCCTCTTCCCATATCTCTTCCCACGCTCTCTTTGTACAATCATAATGGTAGCGCTATTAAAGGAGACTCGCAACGTAGCGAAACTGTACCGCAAGCTCTGTCATGACATCATACAGCACGAACACCACCGTAGTGATCTACAGAGTGAGCAACGATCAAGGTGAGTAAGGATCAGGATGTTATGGCAGG